TGTACCTCTTGGCAACCAATCTTGCTTTATATTTTTCAACTTCACCATTTGCATTCTTCTTTACTTTATACACCCATTTGACACCAATTGCCTTTTGCTCTTTCGGAAGTGTAGCAAGCTCCCATGTGTCATTCTTCTCTATGGATTTAATTTCTTCATCCATAGCATTTCTCCATTTTTTGTCTTGTGCCGCCTCTTCAAATCCTACGGGTTCACAATCTGCAAAGAGACAAAAAAGTGTTAGATCACTTAACCTGTCCGTTACCTTATCTGTTTCATCATATATGTCACGAAGACTCCTCATGCGAAATGGTGGTGTGTCACTTGAACTTGATGATGATGGAGTTAATTGATCTTGAATTGATGGTTGTGGAGGTGATGTTGGTGGAGAAATGGGCTGCTCCATGCCTTCATTTTCTTGCTCCTCGTCAGAAATTGGAAAAATATTATAATCTTCATTTGGAGTGTTCCAATCCCATGTGGCTTCCTCTTCGAATTCAACATCTCTACTAATGACAATCTTCCCATTACTTGGATTGTACAACTTGTAGCTTTTGGAACTTGCATCATAGCCAATGAACACCATTTTTTCACTTTTGTTGTCTAACTTGGTCCTCCTTTTATCCGGCACGTGTACATGGGCAATGCTCCCAAAAACCCGCAAATGAGAGACACTTGGCTTTCTTCTGCTCCATGTTTCTTGTGGTGTTTTGTTTTGCACACTTTTAGTAGGACACCGGTTGGACAAGTACACCGCACAATCAACCACTTCAGCTCAAAATTCTTTAGGCATTTCTTTACTTTTCAACATGCTTCGAACCATATTGAGAATGGTCTGTTCTTCTTTTCTGTAACTCCATTTTGTTGGGGCGATCTCGGAACCGTTAAAGGATGGTGAATTCCATTTTCTTCACAAATTTTTTTGAAATTATTTGATGTGAATTCAGCACCTCGATCGGATCGAAGAGCCTTTACATCATAGCCACTTTGTTTTTCAACAAGTGCTTTAAATTTCTTAAAAATTCCATACACCTCTGAATTTTGTTTAAGAAAATACACCCATGTTTTTCGGCTAAAATCATCAATGAATAATAAAAAATAATTATTCTTACCAAATGATGATGGAGAAATTGGACCATAAACATCCGAATGGATAAGTTGCAGTGGCGCCGTAGCTCTTGTGGTAGCTTCTTTAGGAAAACTTTTCCTTGATTGCTTTCCAACGAGACATCCTTCACATAATTGATTTGGATTGCTAATGAAAGGCAATCCCTTCACCATCTTCTTTTTGGCCAACAACTCTAATCCTCTAAAATTCAAGTGCCCAAGTCTCAAGTGCCAAAGCCAAGTTAAATCATTAACACAAGCCTTTAAACATTTAGCCTCGTCGGCTTGAATATTTAGCAAAAACATCCGATTCTTTGTCATTAGAACCTTGGCAATCAAATTATCCAACGGGTCTCTTATCGAAAGACTACAATCCTTCATAGAAATATTTTAGCCTTTTTCTAAGAGTTGTCCCAAACTCAAAATATTGTTCTTCATATTAGGCACATAATAAACATTAGAGATAAATTGATGATGCCCATTCCTTAAACGAATCAATATTTTACCTTTCCCTCTTACCGAAATTTGTGATAAGTCCCCAAATGTCACCTTGCCATTTATTGATTCATCCATATCAACGAACTTCTCTTTGCTACCACACATATGGTTGTTAGCACTGGTGTCAAGATACCACACATCTTCTTGATCACTTCTTTCAACTTTGTATGCCAACAACAAAGTTGGCTCCACATCTTCATCAACAAAATTAGCCTTTTCTTCAACATCGTTAGCAACATTTCTACATTCTGAAGCATAATGACCATACTTTTGACAATTGTAACATTGAATTTGAGACTTATCATACCTCCTTCCATATGACCTTGAGTAATTTCCTCTACCACGACCTCTTATTTATTGTCAGTCATGGACTTTTTCTTCATTGTTGGTTGCGTGTTGACCGCTTCTTTCTCCTCTTCCACGGCCTCTTCCTCTTCCTCGGCCACGTGCATTTCCACGTCCTCGACCCCTTTGATTTCCTCCATGTTTTTCGTCTCTTTCATTCAACAAAAACTTTGTTTGTAGCACTTGCTCCAAAGCTTCTTGTTTCTTCACCACCATTTCTTCATGAGCTTGCAACGAACCCATGAGTTGATCAACAGTCATGGAATCCAAATCCTTTAACTCTTCAATGGCTACAACAATGAAGTTGAATTTGGAATCCAACGACCGAAGGATCTTTTCAACGACCCTTGTATCAATCATGGTGGTTTCGCCATATCTTCTTAGTTGATTTACAATAGCCAGGACCTTCGAAAAATAATCTAAAATTGATTCAGATTCCTTCATATGCAATGCTTCAAATTCGCCCCGTAACGTTTGGAGGTGAACCTTCTTCACTTTATCAACTCCTTGGAAGGAATTTTGAAGAATCTCCCATAGTTGCTTTGCATTTTCTGCACTAGCAACTCCTTATAGCATTCCATCATCCAAACATTGATGGATGGTCATCACCGCCTTTTGGTCCTTCTCTCATGACTTGTAAAACATCTTTTTCAGCTTGAGACAAAGTTACCTCATCTTTTGGCTCATCATAACCTTTGGAAACAACTTCCCACACATCTTATGCTCCCAAAATTGCCTTCATACGGATACACCAATTTTCATAGTTATCTTTTGTGAATCGAGGCATTTGAAATGGAACCGAATTGTTTGCCATTTCTTCTCTCTCTCACAAACTAGCTCTAATACTACTTTGTTGGAAATAGTGGCCTAGTTACACACACAATACTATACTATTTGGAAGAGAATAAAAATAGAGGAAAACACTTTTTATTTCACTTGATTGAAAATGAGTACAATGCATGGGTTTATATAGGCTTCAAAACATAAATGTAAATGAAAATTAACACCCCACTAACATATCATTTAGTAGGCAAAACTCCCACTTACCCACTAACATGACCATTTAGTAGGCAAAACTCCCACTAACCCACTAACATGACCATTTACTAGTTGTAACTCTCATGCCCCCACTAACTCCAATAAAAAACTCACATAAATATAAAATACCAAATAAAAAAACATCCATGACCTTCAAAGACATTTTAAAAATAAAATAAAGTTTAATTTCTAACACGGACAAACTGATAAGGTCATGGGTGATGCATTACTTGGTGCTGTGTTGGCAATTTTGAGCCATAATATTCAACAAATTCTCTTTAAGAGACACCATGTTGTGAAAATTATTTAATGTTCCTAAATCAGCAAGTAATTTATGGGCATTGTTTGGAACCTAGAATAATTTGAAAATTAGTTTTATTGATTAATTAGGACTAACCATCAAAGAATCTAGAGAAGAATTGGGTAGTTACGCTAGTAGTGGTGATAACATAATTTGAGAAGAATTTTCAAAATAAAACTAATTTTCAACTAGCTAGTTTTGTGTGTTCAATTATTTAATTTTATTCACACTGCTCCTGTTTTATGACTAACTTTTTTGACTTTTGAACTTATTCAGTATTTAATGCAGTCAATCGTTAAAAAGAAAAGAATTTCTCAACTTTTAATCCATATACAGTTTATTGTGATTCTTCTGTGCGTAGAGTATGATGGACAAGGTAAATACAGTTTATGTTTGTTTTCAGTGAAACTGGCAATAAGTTGTATCGAGTTGGTTTCAGTCAAACAGTGGTGGCAATTGGTAGCCAACTAAATTAAACTAGCTCATTAATTAGACAAATTTGAACAGAAAAGCCAGCCCAACGTAGTTTGCTTGGTTCCAACTGAAATTTTATATAAATATGCTGGACGAGTGGAATTTTTTGGGAACTTTTTGGAAAAAATTAGAACCTGGTTCCAGACAATCTCTGTGGGTGCAGATGGATTAAAAGATTTGCAGTTTTTGTATGCCCTACTTTTTGGGCACAATTAACCTGTTTTTTTTTTCTCGATAATAAACAATTCTTTCCAGCTAAGGCAGTTTCAGTTGCACATTCCAATCCAATCCAACTACTTTAATGCCCCGCTTGGTCGCAAGCCCACGCTACTGGACTCGGCACAATTAACCTGTTAATAGAATGGTATTAAAAATTATACTTTAATGCCCTGCTGAGTGCTCTTTGATCAGACTTGTGTTCGGGATAGAAATGTGAATTCCCGATTATTTTTTTATAGTAGTTGAGCTTAAGGATGTGTTGGTCAAGTGTTTTGTGATGCTCTTCCATGTAAATTTAGAATTTTTTACTCATCCAAAAAATAAACAGGGGGAAAAAAAGAAGGATGATGTAGTCGAAAATGACGCTATTACTATTTTTTGTATAGATTTTAAAGGGTGGGTTGTTTGGAAGTGCATGGAAATTTTGCATTTAGCTCGATCGTTATTGTAATGAACATTTACTCAATTGCTGAGTTCAAAACTAGTTGTGTCATCTGCTTTTCCAGTTGGACTAGTATGTCTATTTTTTATTTGCATGATGAAATCCCTATGTCATATAGCTATAAATTGAGAACCACTGTGTCACAAGTTTCATTTGAACACTACTCATTAATAAATTGAGAACCACCACCGCACATTACATCAGTGCAAGATTAAAATAGGTTATTTAATTTGGATGAGGTGTGACTCACAAGTCAACTCATCTAATTCAAAGTTTAAAAACATGACTGTTGCTGACAGTAGACTTTTTTTGTTAGGTGGAATTTATAGGTTACAAGAAGATAAATTAATATGGTAATCAAATGGTCCCAATAACATGTTTATTAAAACAACATGAATTTTCAAAGACAAAATTACCTTTATATTGCCTTGTATTCATCCTCCATTTTTTAGTCAAATGACACATGCGTAGTATTGTAGTAACAACAATGGATGAAAAATACATTACATACACGATCAAATAGCGAAGTACTAGCTAGGAGATTTATTCTTGATGAAGCTGAAGGAGACAGTAAATTTATTTCTCATGAGGATAAAGGCGAACTGGGACACCGCTCATCGGAGTCGGGGATGAATGATATATTACTTTCTCATTTGCAATTGCTTTCTCCAATTTGAATCTTGTCACTACATTATGCATGAAAACCAGTACTTCTAGTCGAGCGTACTCTTTCCCGGGGCACATTCTTGGTCCTCCTCCAAAGGGTACAAAAGTGTACGGTGCAGGTCCGCTCCCATCAAATCTTGATGGATCGAATTTTTCTGGATTTGGGAAGTACTTTGGATTCCTGTGTGTTGAATGTACTGTCCAAAATGTCTGCAAAATGAACAATTTTTTATATCATGTTAAATTGGTTTGATGCAGTGGTAAAAGTTTGAATTGTGTAATGTAAGTTCGAGTCGGAGAACAATCACTTTATGCAAATAATATCGAAGGAACCGCATACCTTCCATCCCTTGGGAATAGTGAAACCCGCGTATGTGAAATCAGTTGTGGCCTCCCTAAAGGCTCCTTGACCTGGTGGCATTAGTCTCAATGCTTCTCTTGCAACATTCCAAGAATACTTCATCTTCTCTATGTCTTCCCATTTTAGCAACTCTCCTGGACCTTTGGACTTTGCAATCTCCATTTGTTCTATTCACAACACAAACCAAATTGAGTCAGATTTCAATGTTTTATGAGCCATATATTGTTTGGAGCATTGCTAAAAATTGGTCTAATAATCTTAGGTTTAGACAACCACTCTATGATATCCAGAGAATCTCTCCCAGCACTCTTATGATCTGTTAGGTAAGAAGGAACGAAGAGGGATGGACAGAAGATAGAAAGAAAAGAACAAGCTTCTTTTGTTTGGTAGAAAGAAAACAACGAGAGAAGAGAAAAGATGATGAATAAGTCATTCTTTCTGGTTGATAAATTTTACGAAAAAGAAGGAACGAAAGAAAAGTAGTTATAACTTTTTTAAATTAACGAGAACTTCTAATAAGTTCCTGAAGCAATTAGGGTTAGAATTGGAGATACTATTACCTTTGAAAACCGCTTCGTAAATGTGTGGAAGCTCTGCAAGATAGTTCAAGACAAAGGTGACAGCAGTGCTAGTTGTTTCATAGCTTGCAACTAGCATACCAATAATGTTGTTTGAAATCGTCATTTCATTCAATAACTCGCCATTTTCATCTGTCTCGAGTAGCATCCGCGACAACATATCATGGTATTTTGTCTCCTTAATCTCTAATAGCTCCTTTCTTCTTTGCCTGATGATCGATAGAAGCTCCTCACGGACCATTTTCCCTCCTCTGATCGCACCATTGTAAGCTGTCCCGGGCAAATCTATAGGCACCGAGAACATCCCGGATGTAACAAGAGTGAAGGGATTGGCCAGCCTTTCAATGTGTTTAGGATCATTGATGCTCATGAACAATTCACACGCCAATGCAAAAGTATACTTCTTCGACACAGGAAAGACCTTCACTTCTCCGTTAGGAATCCATTCCTCGTCCAAGTGTTGGCGCGCCATTGAATCCATAACCGGTATGTACTGTTTCAATGCTTCCGGCTTTAGGATTTCGTGGAGAAAACCGTGCGACAATGCTGCTACTTCTTTTAGAGAATCGTCAACGAATTCAGGGAAGAGCAAAGCTTTCTTCATGGACTTCGGCCACCACGAGGTGAGAAGCTTTTTCTCATTGGAGAACAAGAACTTGTTCCCCGGGGCGCCACAGAACACTGCCATTTTCTCTCCCAACAAGGAGGTTTGGAAAACATCAGGAGAGTGCTTCCTCATTCTCTCACTTATGAATCTTTCGGGGCCTGCCAAGGCGAAAATTATACTCTCTCCAACCAAAGGCCATCCAGTTTTGCCTGGTGGGAGTTTTAAGTTGCCTGAATCACGTTTGTTAGCGCGGAAAATGAGAGAAAGAGAGAGAAAGAGGGCTACAAGGGGCAGAAGATATGAGAAGATGGCATCCATTGCTGCCTTTGTAGTAGTATAACAATGATGAAGGGAGATGAGAGTGTGTGTGCCTCAAACACACTTAGGTCAAGACTATATATAAGAAAATGAAGGGCTTCAATTATTGGACGAAAGATACCAACTATTTGGGACTTGTTTAGTTTGAAAATATAAATGAAACAAAACTAAGTATTTATGGACCGATTATCAAATTGAATTATAGAAGATTGTACCTGTGTTTCGAGTCAAGCTAAAGATGAAACAAAATAAAGTATTTATTCACCGATTATCAAACAGTAGAAGATTCCATGCAATGGGGGCTTGTTAAGTCTGACAAATAGAAGAAACAAATTAGAGTAGTATTTATCACTTGCCAGAAAACGTATATATATATTATAATAGAAGCTGAAAATGTTCAAATTTGGAATTTGAGCAAGATGAGAATTTTGGATTTGCAAAATACATTCATGTATATTCCCATTTGTGTCTTATCTATATACGGCAATAATACTGATGTTAACTGGATTATTACAAAAGATGAAATTAAATATTATTTCTTACAACTATGTCATTTCAAGCATTTTAAATTATTGAATAAAGGAGGAACTTGGTGAAATTGCTTGTATTGGACTTGCTTGGTTCTAAAACACTACTCTTAAAACTCCATTTAATCCAAGCACTAGGACACACCTTGCTTCCTAGTCTCCTCTAATTGTGCACTCATCGGTGAGAAAAGGATGGAGAAGTTTTAAATTTTTTGTGTTGACCATTATATGATAATTTTTTTTTTTTTTTTTTTTTTTTTTTTTTTTTTTTTTTTTTGAGATTATTTCATATAAATGGTGCTAATGACTCATATTTACTATTTAATGAAGTCAAAGTCTCATAGTTTCGAAAAAATAAAGTTGACCAAAATACTGACGTGGACATGTAAAAACACTATTTACCCTTATTGAGGTACCACTTTTAGGCACATATCAAGTTTTGTTTTGGGCATAGAGGTACCGCTTTTTGTATATCGGTACCACTCTTTTGAGCAAAACAAGAAGTGATACATAATGACAAAAAGTGGTACCTATGTGGCTAAAAGTAATACCTGAGTGAGGGTAAACATTGTTTTTTCATATCTTTATTTTTTCGAAATTATAAGACTTTGACTCTTTTAAATGGTAAATATGAGTGATTAGCACCATTTATATGTAATAATCCCCCCTCCCCCTTGTTTGTTTTAGTAGGTGATAAACGCACCCCACGCAACATATGCACTCTCCACTCCATTTTTACAGAAAGAACATTAATATTAATGAGAATATATATAAAAGAACAATCATAGTTAGCAAAATACGGTACGAAAAAAATACGAGTACGAAAACGTATGAGTATGATTCGATATTTTTTTTTATATAAAAAATACGTTTAAAAAATTCGGCAAAAAAATATGAAAATGTAAAAATATGAATACTGATACATACCTGTATAATATGTTATATACACTAAAAATTCGGAATAAAAAATTCGGCTATACACATCTTATTATTTTATTATATATCATATATTTGTAAGGACAATAAAGAATATGTAACAAATAATAAAATAAATATATTACAATTGACACTATCACAATAATCATTAAAAAAAAAAAAAAATCATAAGTATTTAATGTAATATTCTACTATAACATCTAGGGAGTGTGGTGATTTACAAACTTTTAAAAATAATTATAATAAAGATAGTAACAAAATTTAAAAGATCTAACAACAAAACAAAAAATCTATAAATATCTATAAATATCAATAAAAATTTATGATTCTTCAAGATTATAGTGGTTCACAAGTGTGTGTGTGTGTGTGTATATATATATATATATATATATATCTTTCATTACTTTGATTAATGATCATACATTGGAGTTACAACAATAAGAGATTAAAAAAAAAAAAAAAGTGATACGTTGAATGTAGATCAACTGAGTGAGAGAGTGATCACAAACTTCCCCAAGATTACACAACAAATAACATTATTTTGATGACGTGAAAAATAATGACTATACCAAACAAAAAAAAAAAGGTAAAATAGACGGTAGTTTGTGTTTTAAAAAATACGCTATTAGAAATCACCAAAACGAATAAACGCGTTAGATACGGGTGATAAAAAAAACGCATATTTTACCGTATCTTTCAACTCTGATCGACAAACGAAAGTATTTTTCTAAAATTTTTACGTACGTGTTTAATACGCGTATCATACGCGAATTAACTAACTAGGACTAGGAGTACAACTTTGTCATTAGGTTTAAGAAAAAAATAAAAAGAGGAGTGCCAATATGGATTATATTGTATTGTAACTAGTATTTAAAATCTATAAATGTTGAGAGATTGTACTATATAAAAGATAGTTGAATGTTTGACTGAAACCGCCCAAACATTTAGAACATTATATTTTCTCATTATTTTTCATATTTCCTTGAATGTTTGAGAGAATGGATAATGTTTTTATAACTTTTTCTTGTCCCATATGGATACTGTGTAATAATTCCGTTTATATCATACAATATATTAATTTTAAAGTGTCAATTTAAGTTCTCAAAATGAACACGAGGCTATATTCGGTTGTATAGAATTGAAATTTTAAAATAATTAAAATTAGTAGAATTAAAGAAAATTTTAGTTCAATTTTCTGTAGTTTTGAACCAAACTTTTCTCTAATTTCAATTCTAAGACTCCAATTCTATACAGCTGAACATAGTCCTAAATGGTTTGAAAATTTTGTTTAGTTGCAAGATACTGTTGTCTTGGATCCAAGTTACCAATTCTATGCAACTGGAAAAATTTCATGGAACCGAACTTAACACAACTTTAATTAATTATTTTATTTATTTATTATTATTATTTTTAAGGCAAGAAGAATCGATCTGTTCAACGAGAGATCTAGGACAATCACCTTCAACAACTTGCATAAGAAAAGGATGGAAAGCATCAAAAAAAGCAAACATCAGCATTAAGGAATAGGACAGAAAAATTATGATCATGATGCAACCAACATCGACTATCCTCCTCTGTGATTTAATGGCCATAATTGAAACTGGGCAGATTTGCTTCTTATTTTATTTTTTTGTCATTTGAAAGGCACAAAGGCCAAGTCAGGAGGTAGTACAGAGACATAAGCCAAACTAAATAAAGACATACAAATCATGAAGCAATATAATAAAATGAAGAATAAGCTTTAGATTTGTTGAGAAAGAGCCATCACTTTAGAACGGAAATCACCAAAGGAAAAGAGTAGCAAACTGGAGTGACCAAAGATCAGGTCATCATCAAGGCGACAGCTCCAAAATTGCATCCACAAGGCTCCTCCACACATCCAACCCCTCACAAGATCAAATCAAGTCAGGGAAAAACAAAAATCGACCTAGATCAGAGATTTAGCCGAAGGGAAAACAACAGATCTACTCTATCGAGTCTGAAACAAACCAAACAAGATTAGATCTAACCATACAAAACAAAAAACGACGTGAAAAACCACCCACATGCGAACTTATTGTGACACGCCGATGTTATTAACATGTGGGAGACAAGCAAGGTCACCTCCCCACTCCCATGGAAGGGAACAGGGAGCAAAGTAGAAGGGGCGAGCGGTTGCGAGAGAGAGATGGGGAAGAGAGAGAACGAGGACTGTAATTTCATATTGTATGTTTCACAGAGTTATTGGGGGTGCATTATTGTCTCCTCTGTTACATGGACTCTTCAAAAGTAGTGAAGTACCCGTGTCGGACACATATTCGTCGGATATGGGTATGAGATATGTGTGCGACACTTTTGGTTGGACATGTATTTAAAAAGCATATGCAATCATTCAATTACATTATATTATTACTTTAAAATGAATTAAATGCCTATATTGAACATTATATTAGATAAAAACATTACTTTATTTTAGAAAATAAAATAAAATAATTAATAAAATGAATATTTAGCCGTGTCCGTGTGTCCTTATATTTGAAGATTTGACACGTCCGACGAATGAATACATACCCGTATCAGACACTCGTACTCGAGTCCATATAACATAGATTGTCTCATAGGTTATGTAAGCTTGAATTAGAACAAAGAGCAGCCTTTGAAACTTGACTATTCTAGATTATAGCAGTCAATCAAATAGAGTTAGGGACCGATCCAAGTAATATCCAGTTGGGCAATTATACAAATGCCTCTATAACTTTAATTTCTATTAGTTTATTTGCAAGATACTGGTGTCTTGGATCCAAGTTATCAATTCTATTAGTTTATTTGCAAGATACTGTTGGACTGTAATTTCATATTGTATGTTTCAGAATTATTGGGGGTGCATTATTGTCTCAAGGTTATGTAAGCTTGAATTATATTAAAGAGCAGCCTTTGAAACTCACTATTCTAGATTATAGCAGTCAATCAAATAGAGTTAGGGACCGATCCAAGTAATATCCAGTTGGGCAATTATACAAATGCCTCTATAACTTTAATTTCTATTAGTTTATTTGCAAGATACTGGTGTCTTGGATCCAAGTTATCAATTCTATTAGTTTATTTGCAAGATACTGTTGGACTGTAATTTCATATTGTATGTTTCAGAATTATTGGGGGTGCATTATTGTCTCAAGGTTATGTAAGCTTGAATTATATTAAAGAGCAGCCTTTTAAACTCACTATTCTAGATTATAGCAGTCAATCAAATAGAGTTAGGGACCGATCCAAGTAATATCCAGTTGGGCAATTATACAAATGCCTCTATAACTTTAATTTCTATTAGTTTATTTGCAAGATACTGGTGTCTTGGATCCAAGTTGTCAATTCTATTAGTTTATTTGCAAGATACTGTTGGACTGTAATTTCATATTGTATGTTTCAGAATTATTGGGGGTGCATTATTGTCTCAAGGTTATGTAAGCTTGAATTATATTAAAGAGCAGCCTTTGAAACTCACTATTCTAGATTATAGCAGTCAATCAAATAGAGTTAGGGACCGATCCAAGTAATATCCAG